GTCCTATAATACCAGATATCTAACGACGTTACACCATCTTAAATACCAGATATCTAACAATGTTACATCATCTTAAGTATGTATGAACAGATTAATAATATAGCATTCTAAAGAAGGAATTCACAGGGAAAAATTAGGAAAAAAACCTTAACTCACCATTTTAGCAGCTTCATCCAAGTCATCACAAGCAAGTATTTTCAGACCACTGTCTGTTATTAATGCTTTGGCATCATCAACCCGTGTACCTGCAGAGTCAGATTTTGTATTTCTGAATTACAGTTATTACTCTCTGTTTTTTGATGAATTTTACTGTGTTTTCCCAAAAATAAGCCAGTGTCTTATATAATTTTTTGCTCCAAAAACGCGTAAGGGCTTATTTTCGGGGGATGTTTTGTTTTTTCCATGTACAACAATCTACAGTTATTTAAATACAGTCATGCCATCTTCTTCTGGTTGCTGCACAATGGTGGAGGGCGGGGTTTCACTTAACTGGGGCTTATTTTTGGGGTAGGCTTATATTATGAGTATCCTCAAAAATCATACTAGGGCCTATTTTCAGGTTAGGTCTTATTTTGGGGAAAACAGGATAACCAGAGCATAATTGTAACTCACAAGGAACACAATACACAGTGTGGTCCTGATGAAGTCCTGCCATTGCCATGCTCCTCACAACTGATATTTTTAATAGTTTATAAAGGCTTAGAGAGTGGGAAGAAATTAAATTGCTCCTGAAGCCAACACTTGGCTTCAGGTTTCTGAATCAATTTTACAACTATCATCCATTTAGATTCAGGAGACATGACTCTGTATTATCTTAACCTAGCTTGCTGTAGCAAATCAACAATCAGCAGCAGAATTTAGCAGAAATACAAAAAGGTTGCAGGAAAATGTCTTGAAAGTCCTTCTATAGAACTTCTCTCTCTCATCATTCCTCTTTACCCTCATCATTAAATTATGTGAGATTTACCAGGAAGACCTTTTCTCACTGAACATCTGAGGCAATCAATCATTCTCAGAAGAAATCTTTATTCAGTATCTTGGAACATTCTACTTGAAGAGGATACAGATAATGATATAATACTATACTAATTATTGTTATGTGCCATCAACTCACAACTGACATGGTGAGCCTAAAAGGGTTTTCAAGGATATTTATGGAGTGGCTTTGCCATTGCTATTCCCCAGTGATTTCCCATGACCAAGTAGGGATTTGAACGCAGGTCTCTGGTGCCTTAGTCCATCACTCTATCTACTACACCAAGTTGTTCTCATCATATTATCCTAGGATTTTAACTGCTGAATATACTAATGAATAATCTCCTGAAGGCTTACATGAAGTATGAGTATCCACAAAACACACCAGAGCCTATCACTGTTCAAAAGTTAAGGTTCACACATTCAGAGAGTAGGCACACTTTGAGCATGGCTACACCAGCTACAGTGGTACACTGAAGAATGTGAGTTCTCTCACTTCACCAGCCTAAGCCTCATATGTTGAGTCTAGACATCTGAAAAGAACTGACTTTAAGAAAGTCAGTGTTGATCTATAGAACACTTATTCAGCCATTCAAGAACACTGGGGACCTGAAATATTGCAGAGATATGGAGGGGCAAGTTAGTGCTGTCTTGTTCATATTCTTAAATATGTGAATCTCATTTTCTAAATAGACTTAGATTCCCACTCCATGGTAGAGATGATGCAGCACAATGAACACTAGCTACAAGACATATGAATTTGACAACATTTGGAATGCTTACCTTGTAACCGTACAACAATAGGAATTTTTAGCTCCAAATCTTTTACTGCCATAATTATTCCTTGTGCAATCACATCGCATCGCATAATGCCTCCAAAAATATTTACCAGTATGGCTTGTACCTGTGTAAAAAAAGGAGTAACTCATCATGTAAACTTAACAGAGTATTCATAGGAAAAATATTTTAAGCAATCTTTATTCTGCAACAGAAAGATTTTTTAAATAGTTTGCCTATTCAGTAGTGAGACAGTTTCTAGAGGAAAGACGCAGTCTTAAGATATTGCACCCAGCCGATGTCACTATTTGTTTCAAGTCTTCCTTTTAAAGTACAATCGTTATCTAAGTTCCTTAACATTTAAGTGTATATGTGTCTTTACATGCTCAAATACAGGAGATTCCTAAAATTCCACCCTTCCAACGAGCTGCTCAAGTCAAAGAAGAGAAGGTACTGATCTGCCTTGTCTAGGAACAAAGTTCCATGTACTCTGCAGACACAAAGAGTCAGTCTGGATATTGTGACAATGCTGCTCCTGTGAGGGGACAAGAATGCAAAACAGCAGAGCAGCTTGCTTTTAATAAGCCAGCTGTTATAGCACAGTGTCCCATACATATGAAACTACAGGCAGCTATGAAAGGTACCAAACAGCCTCCAAAATATGGTCTATGAAGGGGACTTTGTAACTCTTCTGAGATTTAAAAAGGAACTGACAGGAGGAGCAATTTATAGATTAGATGGGGGAAATATCTACTTGTTGTCGTTATGTGCCATCAAGTCATTTCTGACTAATGGCAACCCTATGAGTAAGTGATGTCCGAAATGTTCTCTCTTCAACAGCCCTGCTCAGCTTTTATAAACTCAAGCCTATGACATCCTTTAAGGCAGTGGTCCCCAACTTTTATGACACCAGGGACTGGTTTAGTTGAAGACCACTTAAACCAGACACCAGGGACTGGTTTAGTTGAAGACCATTCTCCCAAGGACCGGGGCGGGGCGGGGCAGGGTAGGGTACTTATTATGCAGTAAGTTGTTGGAGGATAGCTTTCAATGGAACTCATTATGTGTATTGTGCCGGGACAGATGAGTGATGAGCATGGGCAGGAAGTGAGCTGCAAGTGAAGCTCCGCCTCTTGTTAGATCAGCAGTGGTTTAGAACCTACAGTACTAGGAGCACAGGCTCCTCTTAGATTCTAATGCCACAGGCACAGCTGATTTAGCAGCAGCAGGAGGGGAGCAGAGAGCGAAACTCCACCTCCTGTCAGATCAGCAGCAGCATTAGAACCTAATAGGAGCGCACTGATAGGAGGCGGATCTTCACTCGCTGCTCGCCTCCTGCTTGCCACTCATTTCTCCCGGCAGCCCAATCTTTCGAAGGCCATTGATCAGTACCAGTCCGTGGCCCGGGGGTTGAGGACCCCCTGCTTTAAGGAATCCCTCTATACCATATTTGGTCTTCTGCTTTTCTTGCTGCCTTTCACCTTTCCGAGCATTATTGTTTTTTCCAGAGAATCCTGCCTTCTCATGATGTGCCCAAAGTAGGACAGACTCAGTTTGAACATTTTTGCCTCAAGATAGTTCAGGCTTGTTTGTTTTTCTAGCAGTCCGGGCTACCTGAAAGGCTCTCCTCCAGCACCACATTTCAAATAAATCATTTTTTCCCTGTCAGTGTTCTTAAACGTCCAGTTTTCACACCCATACATGGTGATGGGAAATACAATAGCGTGGATGATCTTCGTCTTGACTTTCAGTGACACAACTGTACACTTGATCTTTTCTATTTCCTTCATTGCTGCTCTTCCTAGTCTCAATTTTCTTCTGATCTGATTATTGTCTCTCTTTGATGATTGATGATCGAACCAAGGTAAAAGTCTTGAACTATTTCAATTTCTTCATTGTCAATGTTAAAGTTGTGTAGTAAGGTATGAAGCAAAAACTCTGACTACATCCCAGGGGTTGAGGGGTGCACTTGATGTTAATTGTATTATGTATTTTGAGTTTAAAATATTTGTAATTTTTATCTTTCTTTTTCTTTGTATTTTTTAAAATTTGTATTTTCTGCAATAATAGTATTTTTTAAAAGTTGTGTAGTTCTTCTTCTGTAGTTATGGTTTTTGTCAACTGCAGTCCTGCTTTGGCACCTCCTTCTTTTACTTTACCTAACAGTCATTTCAAGTCATTGCTGCTTTCTGCCAGTAAGATGGTGCCATCTGCATATCTTAAACTATGGATGTTTCTTCCACCAATTTGCACTCTGCCTTCAATTGAATCTAGTCCAGCTTTCTGTATGATATGTTCTGCATTCAGACTGAACAGATAAGGAGATAAAATATATCCTTGGCTGACACCTCTGAAATATCTATCTCCTTAATCTTAATCTAAGATCAAAATCCTTTCAGCAAAAGGTAAATTGGAGTTTAGCAAACCAGTGATATCAGTATTTGGATAAGTTGCATAGTGAGGACAGACATATGGATAGATGCTTTTGGGGGAAAGGGGCTTCATCTTTGCATTCATATGTATGAGTCTGTGTCTGTGCACATCCACAGCTGCAAAACTTCTAGATGTACAGTAGAGAATTTTGATGGTAGCCCTGCTCCCTTCCTACAGCATGTGCCTAAGCAAGCTATCCCTTTGTTCAAAAATTTGTACAACATAGTGGCAGAAACAACAGAATATTGAAAGAGCTGAAAAAGTGGATAAATGAATAGATGACCAGAGAACATTGGAAATAAGCAACCAGTTTTTCTTCATTGTGATCTCTGTGCATCATTAAGTATGAATGAAGACTATGAACTTGCCTACGAAACCTAAGAGGAAGATAAGTGGGCATCTGCAACCATTGCAGCACTTCTATTATCAACCTTCTACCAGAGGTCGACAGCTGAGACTATACAGCTGCTCAACAAAGTTCAGTTAAATAGACCTCTAAGTACATATCTTTAAAGAAGACAGTGGAACTCTCCATAGTTTGGTGGAATGGCTCTTCATTGTGGTACATCATGGAACTTTTATCAGTTAACAGGCCAATGTAACAACTTTGTGAAGGATTGCAAAGATATTGGAGACTCCATCTTTAGGACCCAAACAAGTCAGAAAGAGTCAAGGAGATTTTTTTAATGGTGCTATATGCTTGTCCCAGCTCCTGCCAACCTAGCAGTTCGAAAGCATGCATATGCGAGTAGATAAATAGGTACCACCATGGTGGGAAAGTAATGGTGTTCTGTGTCTAGTCGTGCTGGCCATGTGACCACGGAAACTGTCTATGGACAAATGCTCACTCTATGGCTTGGAGACGGGGGATGAGCACTGCGCCCTAGAGTTGGACACGACAGGACTAAATGTCAAGGGGAACCTTTACCTTTACAACTGATTTAAAAACAAGGGCCCTTTCTGCATGCAATGCATGCAGGGATCTTTCCTGTCTCTGGTAAATGAAGGGAAGAAGGCATGAAGAATAGTAACTTGGCAAAGGTGGAAAAATCAGATAATTTAGGCTTAAAAAAACTGATAACGATGAATGACCATTTTATCTTGGTGCCATGTCAAATAAGAGGTATCTGCTTGGAGGGAACAGAATTCACTTGGTCTCCATGAAACAGTAAACAGTAACAGCAATTAAGAAGACCACCTTGATTGACAAGGAAAAAAATTCCTGTTAGAGCAGTACGACAGTGGAACCAGTTACCTTTGGAGTTGGTGAGTGCTCCAACACTGGAGGCATTCAAGAAAAACTTAGATAATCAGCTGGTAGATATCCTTTGATCTGTATTCCTGCATTGAGCAAGGGGTTGGATTTGATGGCCTTATAGGCCCCTTCCAACTTCACTTTTCCATGATTCTATGACAACAAGTTGACTGATGTTGTACCTAAGTGTTCAGAGAGGCTTCATCAACTGAATCAGTACGATTCCAAGATAGGACTCTTGTTGTAGAAGCTGGAACCTAGTGTGCAACTTCCTCAAGAACATTTTAATTTAATGGAGAGTAAAAATAGATGAGTACACCAAGGATTATGGGGCAAAGCTACCTAGTCAAGCATACTTTTACGGAAGAAAAAGATGAACTGTTAACTAAACAAAATCAGAAACCACAAAACACAGTAAAAGGAACAGTTGTCAGGATGAAAATGGTGGAAGTTTGTATAGTAGGCATCCTTCAGTCTCGAGAGATTATGGTAACGTGCTCTGTATGGAGGTCCTGGAACAGTGTGTAGTTTGGCTGAGAAAGCCAATTCAAGAGTGACAATCCCTTCCACACTGAACACAAATACAATCTGTCCCCTGTCCAGCTCCCTGGTTTTGCTGGTTTCGGGACTGGCTCTTTGCCTCAGTACAAATTGACAGTACAGTGTCAATTTGAAGAGACACTGTACAAGTGTCTCTTCAAATTGGGAGAGGCCATGATGCACCGCCTGCCTCCAGGCTGAATGCTCAGACATCAAGGTTTCCCATCTGTTGAGGTCCATTCCTAAGGCCTTCAGATCCTGCTTGCAGATATCCTTGAATCGCAGTTGTGGTCTCCCTCTGGGGTGATTTCCTTGCACTAATTCTCCATACAGGAGATCTTTCGGAATCCGACTGTCAGCCATTCTCACAACATGCCCAAGCCAGCGTAGACATCGCTGTTTCAGCAATGTATACATGTTAAAATTCCTGCTCCTTCTAGGACTACTCTATTTGGAACTTTGTCCTGCCAGGTGATACTAAAAATCCATCGGAGGCAACGCATATGGAATGCGTTCAGCTTCCTCTCCTGCACAAAGGGTCCAGGACTTGCTGCAGTACAGGAGTGTACTCAGGACACAGGCTCTATAGACCTGAATCTTGGTATATGCCATCAGCTTCTTATTAAGCCATACTTTGTGAGTCTAGAGAACATGGTAGCTGCTTTGCCAATGCGTTTATCCAGCTCCACATCTAGGGAGAGAGTGTCAGAGATCATTGAGCCAAGGTACACAAAGTCATGAACAACCTCCAATTCTTGTGTGGAGATAGTAATAGAGGGAGGTGAGTCCACGCCCTGGCCCATGACTTATTTTTTCTTCAGGCTGATTGTTAGTCCAAAGTCTTAGCAGGACTTGCTAAAATGATTCATGTGTTGTTGGAGGACTTCAGCAGAGTGGGCAATCGCTGCATCATCAGTGAAGAGGAAGCCCCGCATGCGTTTCAGTTGGACTTTGGTCTTCGCTCGCAATCTAGAGAGATTAAAGAGCTTTCTATCTGATCTAGTCCAGAGATAGACACCTTCTGTTGCAGTTCTAAAGGCCTGCTTCAGCATGACAGCAAAATAAGATCACAAATAGGGTCGGCGTGAGGACACAGTCTTATTTCACTCCGCTTCGGATGTCAAAGGGATCTGATATTGTGCCATCAAAAACTACAGTGCCCTTCGTTTTGTCATGAAGGGACCTGATGATGTTAAGGAGTCGAGGTGGAAGTATTTTAAAAAGGCCATCCCTGCTAACCAAATCAAAGGCCTTTGTGAGATCTATGAAGGCCACAAAGAATGGCTGTTGTTGTTCCCTACATTTCTCCTGCAAATGTCTGAGGGAAAATACCATGTCGGTGGTGGATCTATTAACTCAAAATCCACACTGTGATTCTGGACAAACTCTTGTCTACAAGCACCTGGAGTATCTTCAGCACAACACGGGCCAGCAGGTTCCCGACAATGCTGAGAAGAGACATGCCATGGTAGTTATTGCAGTCGCCCGTCTCCTTTGTTCCTATACAATGTGACGACATTTGCATCCTTCATGTCCTGTGGTACTCCACCTTCCCTCCAGCAGAGACAAAAGACTTCATACAAGTGGTGATGATCTCTTTACAGCACTTCAGCAGGGATGTTATCCTTCCCAGGTGCCTTGCTAGAGGCGAGGGAATCCAAGGCCGCTTATATTTCTACTAAAGTTGGTTCACTGTCCTGCTCTTCCAAGACAGGCAGGCACTCAATGTTATTTAATGCCTCTTCGGTTACTACATTCTTTCTGGAATACAGCTCAGAGTAGTGCTGCACCCAGCGTTCCATCTGCTGTGCTCGGTCCTGGATGATCACGCTTGTAGCAGACTTCAAGGGAATACCAAATATTTTGCTCTTATACAAACTTTTGTATAAGAGCAAAATATTTGGTACTTATAATCATAACAGCACTTTGCAGACTGTTATCAGATAAAATGAATATCTGAATAAACCAGGGAGCTTGTTTTGATCTTGTGAGGCTAGTCTCTAGGATTGGTGCAGAATGCATTAAGAAGGTGTGCAATACAAGAAATAGTTAACATACCATGATTTACAGAGTCTACATCATGGTTTATTCAATGAAATAATTATTCCTATTAAAATACTTAAAATATACTCGCACACAAATTTCCGGATCATTAAGATATTTCAGCCATATGTTAAGTTTGAGTGTTAGACCAAGTAATAAAAAAGAACAAGTTGCAGGCCAGAAAGTTTTGTAAGCAGGTCACTCATGTAGTGTGGGGTTGGAGTCAGCGCACTGAAAGCCAGCTGAGAAACCTTTGTGTAAATAAAATGACACAGTCCCACCATGCAGAAAGGTTGTTCAGAGTCTGCCAGGGAAGATGGGTTGCACAATGTTTTGACATATTTAACTTGTACCTTACTTAAATCTTTTACTAAGGAAGTTACATTTCAATCATTAGGTCAATTTACTAGGAACAGATGTAAAAGAATAGGCATCTGTTCAGTTTTAAAGATAGGAAGTAGAGATACACATCCTTGGGTGTGGTTTGAAGGCACATAATACAGCAAGCATGTTAAACCTAAGTGGATCAGTGCCTGGATGGAGAGGACTACAGAATGCTTTGTGTGCTATTGAGCTCCTTCAAAAAGTGGGGAAAGATAGGATACAAAGGTGAAGAAAACTATTATTTTAAATTTTCTTCACTGAAAATTTCAGGTTTTGTTTCTTTTAATATACAGTATAAATAAAGCAAACAGCAAACATAAATTAAGCTTTCAGTGGTGAAAAGTGAAGTTTAACTAAATCACAAAAATAAGATTATAATCTTGCACACATTGACTAATGATAAATTTCACTGAACACTGTGGGATTTCTTTATAAATCCAAAAAACTGTGCTGCAGCTGGTTAGTATGTCCCTTGACAAAAGAGTGCCAGTTATTCATACAAAACATTGCATTTATAAACAGAACTGCTACTCACCACTAGATCTCAAGAAAGAAATATGAAGTTAAATGGAGAACTCCAAATAGCAACTGGGTTCTTCTTACCTTTTTATCTGAGGTAATAAGCTTAAAGGCCTCAGTTACTTGCTGCGCTGTAGCACCACCTCCAACATCAAGAAAATTTGCTGGAGTGCCTCCATGAAGCTTAATTATATCCATTGTGGCCATTGCAAGACCTGCTCCATTCACTAGGAGTGAGTGAGACAGCCAGCCAGAGAATGAAAGAGAATGAAAGAGAGAGAGATACTGAGAATAAGAACGACTCCAGGCATCAGCACCACTGGAGTCTCTGTATCCAACATAACCTACCCAGACACCCGATGTTTCCATCTAATCCTATATAATTCAGATCTGCCTTTGCTGCTTGCCTGTCTCTCTCGTCTTCTTGTGTCCAGTCCCGCAGGTTGAAGATTTTCTCCTGACGATAAGCTGAATTGCTATCAAAGTTTATCTTTGCGTCCATACACATCACTTGGAAGACAAACAAATTGTGTTTATATTCCTTAGCACTCAGAACAATAACTATTTCCATAAAAGTCTGTAAAATTAAGAGTTGCATCATGCAATCTTTTTTCCTTTTATTTGAACAGAAGTTCCACTTTGGAAGGAATCCCAAGAAAATCAAGGTTACTTGACAAAGGAGTCCATATCTGCCTTTTCTGAACACAATAGCATCTATGGTGACCTCTCTCACTTGCCTGGGAGATGACTTCTCCTTCATGGATTTTTAAAAGACAATAAACATTTTTTATAACATGATTTGCCAGTCTGCAAAGTGAAGAGCCAGCCAAGCTTCTAGCCATCTCCTTTGTTACTCCAGAATAACCCTGGGCATCAGGTAGGCATTCTTATGGAATCAATAAGGTGAGCCAGAGGGAGGCTAGCACTTCAGTTTGCAATGTGAGACAGGCTTGTGATGAAAAAAGCCTTTTTCTTTTTGTAGAGTATATGTAAAAATATTCAGATCTTGTAAATTTAAGAGGGATAGCTCGTATATGCATGATTCACACACAGATTCTATTCACCAAACCATTATTAAGTTAATTGTTTATGCTGGCACCTACAGAATGCCGGGGGGGGGGTGTCCATCACCTTATGGATCCACATAATTTTTAAAAGAGCACTAACTCTAAAAAAAATAGTAAATTATGCAACTCAACTGTGGGTGCAGAAGTAACCTCTGGCTTACTTGCAGTTACTTCCATAGATATGTGATATGACTTGCTCCTGGTCTGGAGGAGTTCCCTTTTAGAAATCATGAGCACTTCAGTCAAGCGTATCTCCCAATAGCAATTATTTTTTGGTGACACATTCTCAGAATTCCAAGTGGACCCCATACATTTGCAATATACTAGAAAATAGAGGTTTGTTTTTCTAAGATCTCCATGTGGCCTGTTGAAGAATGAGATACTAAAATCCTGAGTTGGTCTTATAGTTTTGGCTGGGGCAAGGATATCACTGTATTTTTAAACACCTCTATTGAGGAACACTTATCTCTTCCACAGGTTCTGCATATATAATTCATACACTGAAGCCAAAGCAGTTGTTACCATTCCTGTGATCCACAATCACTGTCTGTGGGAAAGGACCTGGATTCACCTGCACAGCTTGAAAGACACAGGAGAATTTCTTCCTCCTGTATGTCTAGAAGAAAACTGATAATCTATTTGTGAAAAATTGGTATAAAGGGGTCTGGAACTTAGCTGTATCTAACATTTAACTCAAGAATATGGCATGCACAAGTGACTCAGGTAATTTTGATGCAACCTGCTTTCATTACTTATAGTCAACTGCACAGAGACAAATATGCCAATCCTAATACTGTACTCATGGGACTATATGGGTTATGTGCTGGCCTAAGTCCTCTTCAAATGTTCCTTCTGTTCTCACTGAAAAGAATGAAATGTCAAACCTTGTGACTATCAACTTCATAACTGTAAAGGAGGATGGGCAACAAACAGTACCTTTCCATCAGGCCATAATTGTCTGCATACTTTTTTCAGCTAATTTTTTCAAACGTCCTTTACTGTAACAAATTTTATACTCAGTAACAAGCTTTTCATAAATTACAATATCAAATAATCCCATTAAAAAGTGCTTTACCAATTCCTGTGGAATCTTCAACCATAGGGTTAATTTCTACCATAGTGGCATCAAATTTAATGAAGAGGTTGTATATCTTAATCATAGTATCAGCTGCTTCATTTATCAAGTTAAGAGGAAATCCCATTTTCTTGGCCAGCTAGAAAAAGAAAGGACAGAATGAATCACGCCAGAAAATTAAACAATAGGGTGGATGGAGAGGCGTACAAGAGACACAGTGCATTATCTGTTTGTGTTTTACCATACTTCAGGATTCCTATTGTATAGGCTATTCTGTCAAGAGCAGAATACTGTTGGAAAGGAAAAGGTTACAAGATTCAGTAATTGCATTCCAAACCTTCCACTCTCTAGCTGGCTAATGGCTTCTGGGTCCATATTGACTGAAATACTGCTCAACAGGGTCCACCTGCATAATGGTAATGATGTCATTGGAAGTGACAATTGCTGTTGATTAAATATTCCCTTTGCGATTTTGGGATGCACGCTACTTCATCATATTGTCTGTGAGTCTGACGGTCTAGCATATTTTCTTTCATTTCAACGGGCTATATGCATGCACACAGGTTTTTAAAAGTCATTACAAATCAAGGAGTCAATATTTCAGTACCCGGACAGCTTGTTCCTTTTGGATGCCTTCCACAATGTCAATAGGTTCCTTAGCAATAGCATCAGGATTCTCTGCTGCCACATCTTCAATATTGACACCACCTTGGGCACTGCCAATAAGTACAGGGCCCTAAAAAGAAGAAAACTTTTTAGCAAGATAATACTTATAATAATCATTGCTTTTATGAACAGCACATTCTGTGAAAAATATACAATTAAACTAAACAGCAAAAATATACAAGTTCTATATATGCAAAATATGAAAGATGTCCAAATTTATTTTAGTATCTAGGATCTAGAAACCTAATTATGGGACTGGTGCACTTTATAATACAAATGCTTAGTCTCTGAGGAATGACAGGCAGGTTACTTATCTGTAACAGTAGTTCTTCAAGTGGTCATCTGTGAATTAACACACCTGGGTGTTCTGCGCAAATGCATAATTCACAGAGATGATGAAGAAGAAGAATCATTTTAAAAATTACCAGAGAAAGAAACTTCTCAAAAAAATCTCATGCACTGTCCTGAATCTCACCAATACATTTCCAAAGGAAATTAAATAATGAGCTTTTAAGGGTAACAAGTTTATTTATAATAATGTATTATGTTACAAACTAAATAGTCTTCTATCTTGGTTTAATAAATAACAACAACTAAACTAGATGAATGTAGATGGGCTTTTTTGTCAATCTGCCTTGTTCCCATCTTGTTCCCATTGGTTGTTTGACTTAATAATATAGGCACTTTATAAACATCGTCTTCTGACTCCATTTTGTTTCCAGTGTCTGTCTCTTCTAGCATTGATAGAAAAAAATCAATGCTTAATTTTGGTGCAGAAAATCTTCCATTGCTATTAATTTCTTAATCACCTCTGAAATGTCTGCTAATACTTGCGAGTCATCAGCAGCACTGACACTGACATCATGTACTACCTTTCTTTGGGTGTTAACCCTTTCCAACCTATCCAGGTATGCATATACAAACTTATACATATTAGGACTTTTGATATACAGTGGTGCCTCACACAACGATGTTAATTGGTTCCAAAAAAATCAACGTTGTGTGAAACATCGTTCTGTGAAACACCATTTCCCATAGGAATGCATTGAAAACTGGTTAATCCGTTCCAATTGGAACGGATTGCTGTCTTTAAGTGAAAAAACCCATAGGAAACATCGTTGAGTGAAACAATGTTTCCTCCATTGGAATGTATTGAAGCCGACTCAATACATTTCAATGGCTTTGCGAAGTCCTTTTTCGCTCCTGTAAAAGTGCCTTACAATGTTTGGAACAGGTTTTAAATGCTTGCAATCGTTAGCCCACCTCCTGAACCCTATGCAAACTTAATTTGATGTTGTTCTGAGTCGTCTTTAATTTTTGGTGATTTTTTGAATTTTCTCTCATTGGAATGCATTGGACGGAAAGTTCAATGCATTCCAATGAGAGAAAATTCAAAAAATCACCAAAAATTAAGGACGACTCAGAACAACACCAAATTAAGTTTGCATAGGGTTCAGGAGGTGGGCTAACGATTGCAAGCATTTAAAACCTGTTCCAAACATTGTAAGACCCTTAAAAATGAGCGAAAACGGAAGAGCTTCAAAAGCACTGAAGCCGGCTTCAGTGCTTTTGAAGCTCTTCCGTTTTCGCTCATTTTTAAGGGTCTTACAATTTTTGTTTTCCTTATTTAAATGCATTGAACTGTCCATTCAATTGATTTAAATGGGGGAAATAAAAAAATCACCAAAAATTAATGAAGACTCAGAACAAAACCAAATTAAGTTTGCACATGTTTCACAAGGTGCACTATGGAATGCATGCATTTAAAACAGGTTTCAAACATTTTAAGACACTTTTAAATGAGCAAAAAGGGACATCGTTAAGTGAAATTCCCCCATAGAGAACATCGTTAAACGATGGGGGAAATTCCTCAAAAAAACCCATTGCTGTGTGAATTCATCGTTGTATGAAGCAATCGTTGTGTGAGGCACCACTGTATACTGTTCCTTAATGACATGAATCCATTCTCACAATAGATTACTACATAGATATTATAAATGGAGTGGAGACAGAATAGAAGAATGGGTTCACACCAGCTATGATTTCATCCTGAATGCTGAAAATGACAGTTAAGCATACAACATAAAGGCATTCAAAAATGCAAAAGATCCAGCAGAAAAGAATATAAATCTAGGAACAAATATATGAATCAAATATATGACCAAGTCACACGTTGGCCTGTTCAAACCCTGTCAGGAAAGGGCATCAACAACTTAAAGTTCCTGATACATGTTGTATGTCAAAGTCAAAGTCTTGAAGTGCCAAACTCCACCATATGGAGTTTCTTATTTTCCTCCTTGGTAGAGTGAAGCCAGCATGCTCGGTCTGCAGACAAAACACTTCTCCCACAAATTTTGGCACCTTATCTTAACAAACACAATAGCTTAACATTCCTTTTTAGGAATGGACTAGTGACTTTTTCACTCAGAAGACATCTTACTAAGCAACAATATAGGATGAATTTCACCATCTGGCCCCTCTTCCACAACCACTGCACCCATACCTTTCTTGCAAGCATTGATGCCAATGATGAAAGGCTTATCGAATTTACGTGCAGTCAGCACAGGATCAGACATGACAACATTCTTCAGCCCTAGAAGTCTTTCTGGTAATTTGTTGTGTACTGTACTGTACTGTTAGGTTAGTTCCAAGTGAGGTTTATCAGCAGGACAGCAACCTAGCTATGGGGATAAATCTTCTATAGTACCATGTCAAATGCAGGAAGAACCGGACTTGTTTCTTGGACCAAGGGACAGATTCGGCATCCAAGGGGCTGATAGTTCTTGGCCAACCTCCTGCTCAAGGTTGGTCTCTCTGTTCGGAAGAAACTAGCACATTTTTTTCTTGATGGTCAGTCTGGAGTTCTGATGCGTTGCGGAATAGTCTAGACATGTTGCAAGTCATCATGATAGGTATCCAAGAACACAACAGTGTCATCCAGATAAGGCACTGTAAAATCTACATACCTCCCTAGTAGAGAGTCCACCAACGTCTGGAAGGTGGCAGATAAATTGCATAGGCCAAAGGAAAGCACATTAAACTTAATCAGAAAGACTGTTCCGTGTTTCGATTCCTCATTCAGGGATATTTGGGATAGGTCTAGGGTGCAGATTTGCTGTGCATGGCCCTTCTTTCTCCAACTGTTTATCTACATGAGGCAGTGGACGTTTTTCCAAATGTGTTAGGATATTCAGGGATCAAGTCGGACACAACTAAACAACTAAACAACAACAATAATCCACACAAAACTGCATTTCTATTCCTTGTTTAAGCACTAATGTGATGGCAGAAAGCAGGAATATATCAATCTCAAGTATCTCTTATTTCTTTCTCAATAGCCACTTTTCCCACAGATTAAACCCTATGTATAGTGGGATTTCATCCACTTGGACATTGTTTGCATTACCAGCATGATATAGCTTCCTTATCATACGTGGTGCAGATAAGAGTGTCCTGTGAAAATGAGAAGTCATTGTAAAGAACTGTTGCTATTGGTCTGCATCAAGTCTCTGTGCAGACTTCACGTCCTCAAGGTCTTCACCACTGGTCTTATCATAATAAGCTCTCTCTGGTCATTCCACATCATCAGTGTCTTGGACTGAAACCTGGAGTATATGGCACACTTGGGAGTTCAGAGAATTCACATTATACACCTTAGGCTTTTAGCCTTTTGTTTCTGTTCATGGGGTTTTCTTGGCATAGATACTGGGGTGGCTTGCCACTTCCTGCTCCAGGTGGATCGTGTTTAGTCAGAACACTCCACTGACTGAAAGTGAGAGCTGGACCATAAAGAAGGCTGACCGCAGAAGAATTGATGCTTTTGAATTGTGGTGCTGGAGGAGACTCTTGAGAATCCCCTGGACTGCAAGGAGAACCAACCTATCCATTCTAAAGGAAATCAACCCTGAGTGCTCACTGGAAGGACAGATCCTGAAGCAGAGGCTCCAATACTTTGGCCATCTCATAAGACGAGAAGACTCCTTGGAAAAGACCTTGATGTTAGGAAAGTGTGAAGGCAAGAGGAGAAGGGGACGACAGAGGACGAAATGGTTGGACAGTGTCATCGAAGCTACCAACATGATTTTGACCCAACTCCAGGAGGCAGTGGAAGACAGGAGGGCCTGGCGTGCTCTGGTCCATGGGGTCATGAAGAGTTGGACACGGCTTAATAACTCAACAACAACCACCTTAGGCTTAATGTTAGTTTCTGAAAAACTCTATTTAGATAGTTCACAGCTGCTATGCATTCACGAACTGTGCACAGGACTTCCCAGGAAGTTTGCATCTTGTTGTGCTGAAGCACTAAAACCAATATTTGGTCTCCTTCACTAAAACACCTTTTTCTGGCATGCTTCTTATGAGGCCTTTTGTTCCTGTTGGGCCTCCTGGAGATTAGAAACTACCTTTCTTTGGATGGTAACCCTTTCCAATCTTTCCATGTTGCAAGCCTGTAACAAACATATTTTGACATATGTTGCTGCCAAATGACATGGATAAACCCACTGTCACACCAGCATGATATTTCCATTTCTTAATGAACTCGCATGCCAAATCCTTGACTGTTTAGGAAGCTTGTATGAGTAAGAAACCAGCCGAGAGCTTTCTAGCAGCAGCAGCAAAGAATGAAAACTTCAAAAAACTAAACAAAAATGAATTAGTCATAACCTTATATTAACAAACCCTTCTCTTGTCACCAGGAAATTGTCTTTATTATATGTCTAATACTGCTCATGTCTAATATGTCTAATACTGCTCAAAGAGTGAAAGCAAGGGGACAACAGAGGACGAGATGGTTGGACAGTGTCATCGAAGCGACCAACATGAATTTGACCCAACTCCAGGAGGCAGTGGAAGACAGGAGGGCCTGGCATGCTCTGGTCCATGGGGTCACGAAGAGTCGGACACGACTAAACGATTAAACAACAACAATACTACTCATATCCAAGGGAATGATAGATCCTTGCATTGTACTACAAAAACAGTATTGGGTGGGTATGATACAAGAATTTTTAACAGCATCCTAAAACATATACGTATATAATGTGTGTGTGCATGTACACATACATCTTCCTCTGTCTATATATATATCTCCATGGTTGTGAACACAGACACTACAATTGTAAACCATCATTGCAAACAGTTTTCATTCAAGTCCAGAACAATGCACTCTGAGAGCATTTCTCTCCAAAGAATGATCTACTTACCTGATATGATCGTTCCATGGTAATTGCAAAATAGTACTCTCTCCTGGGATATCTCCGCTCACAGATAAATACTTGATTACATATCCTGCCCTTCTCTCCTGTCTGCTTAGTGTGTAACTTTTTTCCAATCATTCTGGAAGAAATCTCTCTTGCTTCTTCTGGACTAAATTACAAACAGAGTTCAAGACAAAACAGAAAGAAATAGATCATAAAATCTACGTTATTTAGCTATATATTTATGGAATATATGGCTGTTAATAACCATTGTACTAGTGAATCCCTTATATTATCTTCAGTATTATCTTCCGTATTATACTGAAAATAATACTATACAGCATTATTATCAGAGACAGCATAGCTCTAAATATCAATTGCCAGAGAACTTGAGCATGAGGCTGCACTTCCTGCAGGCATCTGTTTGACCTCTATGGAAACAGGATGCTGGATTACACAAGCCTCCAATCTGATCCAGCATGTCACTTCTTAGGTTCTTACATCAAGTGCATTAATTAAAGCTAGAACTGCAACTAATGTTTCAAATAACTTTGGGCAGTCTTAGAAAATAGGTATATTGAAATTATTCCAACAAATATTTAAGGTATGTGGACTAAAGTTCTAGCATGCTCATTGGTTCAACTTACGAAAATACTATTTTCACTCCTCCTTTCAGGCCACCTTCAAAAGTTCCTTTTCCCCGGCCACCAGCTAAAACCTGTGCCTTTACAACAAGGTCCTTTGTACCTAGAACAGAAGGATTTGACAAGAACTGTTCTAAAATTAAACATTCCAGAAATATTTTGTGAAGTCACAACCTATAACAAATCTCATTTTTAAAATAAGTTGTAAAATAACATAGACATGCAAATCCCACTTTAACCTTTTTCCTGAGAAGTAAAGGAGAAATCAAGCTTTACTGCTGTTTGCAAGTCAGAAACTATATTTATAAACTAGATTTCTATTAATGCATCCTAAAATAGCACTGGCTTTTTTTGCAGTCAGCTGTTGGCTCATATTAAGGTTTTCATCTACAACAATCCTTCTCACTTGTAGTGTTATTGAGTCAAGTATCCCCCATCTTGTAACTGTGCATTTGCTTTCCCCACTTAGGTGTAGAACTTTGCATTTAACCCTGTTAAATTTCATTCTGTTGTTTTCAGCCCACTGCGCAATCTTATCAAGATCTTTTTCAATTTTGTTCCTACAATCTTATCAAGATCTTTTCCAATTTTGTTCCTATTCCACCCAATTTTGTGTCATCTGCAAATTTGATAAATATCCCCTGCACTCCCTCATCTCTGTCAAAAATGTTGAAGAGCACTGGACCTAGTACTGAGCCTTGTGGTACCCCACTTGTTACCTTTTTCCACTCTGAGAAGTAGCTATTGATAAGCACTCTCCGAGTACGATTCTGAAACCAACCGTGTATCCACCTGACACTTGCTCTATCCAGCCTACAACTAGTGGGATAATCAGAATATAATAGGGCATTTTCTAAAAAGTGTTTTTTTTTTAAAAAAAATAAAATTTTATTAACATCCATAGTACTGTATGACAATGCAAGTCAGAACTGTAGTACAATACTATCACATTACTTACATATTCTTTCAGTAGATTCTTTATACATCCATTAATTCCTATTTTAACATACTTAGTTCTTTTTAAAATATTACATGCCAGCAATCCAAATTACTTCTCATATCACATTCTTCTTTTCTTGAGCTAATTCCATATGTTAATAATGGCTGCCAGGTTTTCATAAATTTATCCTATTTTATTTCCCCTCAATATATTTTAATTTGATTGGTCAGCTTTTTCATCAGGAACATTTGCCAGATTCTGTTCTCAAATTTTTGTACTATTGCGCATTTTCCAATTTTGTGCAATTTCAATTCTTGTTGCAGCAATAAGATGTGCAATTAGCATCTTGAGCATTTTCCAATTTTGTGCAATTTCAACTCTTGTTGCAGCAATAAGATGTGCAATTAGGTCTTTACTGAATAATTTTTCATTTCTGTCTTTATTAAAAATAATAATAAAGCTTCATTTTAAATAATTTTTTGATTCAACAATGTTTCTTTCCATTTAATTATTTTCTGCCAATATGCTTCCACTTTGGGGCAAGAGATCCACATGTGTTGATGTTGTTGTTGTTGTTGTTTTATGTATTTTCTGTTTTTTCTAACAGACAATTTAAAAGCATAGATATATAGCATATTACACATTTAAATAATAATCATAAAGTGATAAAGAATCCCTAATGGTCAAACAATAAACAAAAATAATCTAAATATAAAAAAAGAAAAAATCTAAGGCTCAGCATAAAAGCAATCTTGTATACAGTATTTGAGAAATTCTTCTGATGATATACTATTCATGACATCCCATTTTTTATTCATTTTCTGTTCCTTTGCTGCAGGATTTTTACTTTCCACCAATTATAAAATAAATTCCAGCTTAGATAATATCATGAGTTCAGATCAGGAGGTGTTTTGCTTGAAAGTTCATATGCCAATTATATAGTGTGTATTATCCAATGGGAGATGGTTTGTGATTATGCTGGAGTGCCTTTATGGGGACTGTGGAGACATATGAGTAATCTTGAGGGCTTCCTAAATACTTTTGTCCTGTTGGTGTAGAAGGCTAGAGCCCTTCAGACGTCCAGCATGTGGACCATGTGCTCGATGCGTGAAGAAGGAGATGGAAATAACGTTGGTAAAATTAGTGGTTGATTCATGTGAAAATCAGAGGCTACTTTTGGAAGAAATGACACATCAAAGTAGATAGTAACCTTATCAGGGTGAAATTGTAGGTATGGAGGGATTGGAGAGCTGCTAATTCGCTGGCTCACTTGGCAGATGTTATTTTTTTTCCTGTATTTTTCGTATAAAATAAAATTTAAAAAAAGAGATGTTATTGCCACCTGTCTTCAGGGATAATAATTTTTCATTACACCTGGCCATTGGTTCAAAGGGTGGTTTAGTAAGAGAGTTTAGGACTAATTGTAATGACCATTGAGGTACAATTTGTTGTCTTGGGGGTCGAATGTTTTGAATACCTCTAAGAAATCTTTTTAAAGTCAGAGGAGAAAAGAGTTTTGCTGATTGAGAATGGGGTGGTTGATGTGCCACGATTGCTGATATACAGACCTTTAGGGTCAAGTATGACAGTCCCCAGTTGAAGAGGTGGAGAATGAAGGTAAGTACTGTTTTAAGGGAAACTGGTGTTGCGATTAAGTTTTTTAAGACAGCAAATTTCTTGAAAGACTTCCATTTATTTTCATAGAGTTTTTGTGTGGACAGCTTTCAAGCTCGATTTAGGATCTTTCAGATGGCGGGAGTATCCTCCAAGGTGCTAGATCAGAGACTGAATATCGGGATGAAGGATCTTTCCGTTACTCTGAGATAGGAGATCCGGTATTGACAGTAGGTGGAATATGTCTGTTGCCATCGACCTCAGATGAGTGAACCACGGTTGTTGTGGCCACCATGGAGCAATGATGATGGCATCTGCTCAGCACTGAAGATTTTGAATTACTGATTTCTGGATCAAGGGTACGGGAGGGAACATGTATAGCAGCTCTGTTCAGTCTATCATGAAAGCATCCCCCAGTCATCTGGGATCAATGCCGGCCCAAGAACAATACCTCTGACATTTGGTATTGTGTCCTGTTGCAAAGAAGTCTATGGATGGGTGCCCCCATCGATTACAAATTGTTTGGAAGATATGATTGTTTAATGTCCATTCGTATGTCTGAGTGTGTAATTGGCTTAGCTGATCTGTTATGTAATTATCTTCTGCAGAAATGTGACTAGCCACTGGGAAGATGTGGTGGAGAAAACACCATTCCCAGAAGTCTATGGTTAGGTTAGAAATGTAACTAGCCACTGGGAAGATGTGGTGGAGATAACACCATTCCCAGAAGTCTATGGTTAGGTACAAAAGTGAGAGGGAATGATTGCCTCTCTGTTTGTTTACATAATACATCGCCGTGGTGTTGCCCGTGGCTAATTGAATTGTTTGTCCCTCGATTAGTGGTAGGAAGGCTCAAAAGGCTTTTATTATTGCTAACGTTCTGAGATGATTTATGTGTAACAGTCTTTCTTTCTTTGTCCACAGGCAGTGTATTTCCAGTTCTTGGCAGAGGGCTCCCCATCCCGACAGACTGGCATCGGTGGTGACCTGTACCGGCAACCGTAGAGGCTTGAAGGGTCTGCCTACTGCTAAATTTTCAAGCAATGTCCACCAAGTAAGTTGGCTTGCTAATTCTGGTGTCACAGTGAGGCGCTTCGACTGCTGGTCCATCATGGGGTTGAATAATGACAGGAACCATGCCTGTAATGATCTCATTTTGAGCCTTGCATGTTGAACTACAGTTGAAGCTACGATTAACCAATCGTCAATGTAGGGAAAAATGGTGACTCCTTGGAGTTGCAGATAGGCTGCAATTGGTGCCATACATTTTGTAGATGTCCTTCTAGAGTTTATGTACTGTGACCTCTCTGTTGTTTTAAAATGTGTCAGTTTAAAATGTGACTCCAAAGTCTTTTTTCCTTTGGGGATCTGTTTGCTGTAATAATGGTTCCTGGTTGTTGATGTAGGCAGGCTGTAAAATGCAGTTTAGACTCCTCAGTCTTTTTTTCTTAAAATCAGAAAATATTCTGTGAGGGGCTGTGCTGTCTGTTTATCCAGGCAGGCTGTACAATGCAGTTTAGACTCTCTTTTTGTGATGAGGAGTTCTGTGCTGGAATAATGCTTGCTGGATTCTGTGGCTTCTAGGGTTTGTGTACTGTGACCTGTCTTTTGTTTTAAAACATGTGTTTAAAATGTGGCTCCAAGGTCTGTCTCTTTTAAAATCAGAAAACTGTGGTGCTTGTTGAGGCAGGCAAGCAGGCTTTAAAATGGAGTTTAAAATAGAGTTTTAAAATGGAGTCTAGTGTAGACTCAAGGCTCTCCTCCCCTTGTCTTTTCTCTCTCTTTGTACTTAACAGCACAAACCTTTGTCTGAGGGGTCTGTGTGCCCCAGTGATGACCTTCTTTCTTTCCTCTTTTCCCCATTGTTCCTTCCCTCCCTCCCTCCTTTCCTCCCCTTTTTTAAAGCTAAAAGGTGCTTGGCTTGGCTTTGTTTAAAAGCAGCTTGTTTTTAAAGGTGTTCTGTTTGGAAGGTGTTCCCTCCCCCGCCCCTTTCCTGCCCTTTTTTGACCTAAGTTCATTTTAGGTCAAAAGAAGAAAAATTCTCCCCCTAGTGGTAGAGGATGGATGAACTGACATTGCATTAGTTCCTATGGGAACTAATGCTTCTACTTCCGAACGGCGCCTCTAGATAAGAACAAAAACAGCCAGAAGAGATTAAATGGTTTTCAATGCATTCTTATGGGAAATTTTGCTTCTACTTACAAACATTTCAACTAACGAACATTTTCTGGGATGGATTTAGTTCGTAAGTAGAGGTTCCACTGTATTGTTCTAGTGGGAATTGCATTCAGAAGCTCATCTAATCCTTAGAGCCGTCACATTTTAACTGTACAATCTGTAACTCTTTTGAATATCTTATGTTTTATAACTTTTAGCTTTTTTAAAAAATAAACCTTATTTTATGTTTTACCCAAGTGTGATCCTGGGGGAACAAAGGTTTGAGTGTCTAATGAAAGTGCCTTCACCACAGGGCTACATTGGCCATTTTTGTTCTTTGGGTGTTCTACCTGCTCAGACTGGTGCGCAAGGCTTAGAGTACATAGCCAGCAGTATTTTATCCCAAATGAAGGGAGTAATTGGAAATCTAAGGTTAGACGCTTGCCCAGAGTTATCCATTCATACACCTTCTAAGTTTCACCCAGCCTAGGGTTCAAAGGATGGTGGAATTTGGGAACTAAAGTTGGTACTTTCCCTTAGTGGAATAGCATTCTTTAAGGAGGGGCATTCCTGACATAGCTCTGTATGGTGATTTACTTCAAATATTAAAAGCCAGAGACAGAAAAGGTTTTGCTACCTAGTAATGTGCAGGGGATGACTAAATGAAAAATAAATAAATTAAAGGAAAGAGCAGATAGGAAGAAAAAGAACACCTGGGTAGCTGTGTCAAGGAGAGAAGAGAAAGAGCCTCTGAGTTGCAGGAGGAGCACAAAAAGAGAAAAGGCAAGAACATTTAGTTCTATGGTATAAAAAAGAATACAAGGTTAGGTTGCTGGGCAAGAGAAAAGGAAGAACCACTGGATTCAGAGAAAAAGTGGCATCTTCTGTTAGTTAAAAGTTAAAGCTTTCCACAACTCACAGATCACAGTCTCTCTCTCTTTTTCATTACACAGTTGTGAAATTATACAATATCTAGCACATAACATAAAAGCCGTTAGAAAATAAATGGCAGGATTTTTCTCCACTTAAAATAGCCTACAGTGGTGCCTCGCATTACGATGTTAATTTGTTCCAGCGAAATCGCTGTAGAACGAAAACATCGTAAAGCAATTTTAAAAAGCCCATAGAAATGTATTAAAACCCCTTCAATGTGTTCCTATGGGCTTAAAACTCACCGTCCAGCGAAGATCCTCCATAGTGCGGCCATTTTCGCTGCCCGTGCAGCGAGGAATCCGTCCCAGAAAACAGTGGGCGGCCATTTTTTTTTACCCAGTGGCCATTTTGAAACCGCCGATCAGCTGTGCGAAAATCTTTGTTTTGCGATAATCGGTTAGCGAAACAGGGAACCGATCATCGCAAAGCGAAACAAGCCCATAGGAAACATTGTTTTGCGATCGCTTTTGTGATCACAAAAACTTCTTTGTGATGCGATTTCGTCATTATACGAAGCCCTCGTCTTGCGAGGCACCACTGTATTTTTAAAGCATCAGATTCAATTTTATACCTATTTCTTTTGCAACTTTGTAAGCTTCCTCTGGTGTCTTTGCAACCAATCCATATGGAACAGAAATCCCAGCTTCTTTCAGTAGTTCCATGCTCAAGTATTCATGTAGTGACAAGTTTCTTCTTTGTCCAACTTGAAATACATCACTATGAAGTAATGGACTTCCACTGAGAACCTAGAAAAAGAGAAAGACAACTTTCAGTTTAATAATCCCGCATAAGATCATATGTTATTTCATCACACAAAAATCATAATCCATACAGAGATATATTCAACTTACCATATGAAACCAAAACATATGATCATTATACAGTAGCATAAATATGAACTACACAACAGGTTCACAGAGTACCTCCCAGCAGGATTGGTGTGCTGGGTACAGTGCACAGCTTTGAGGAGTTCTGACTTCCAAGTCACAGCCAGACTGACATGCTGGAAATTATGCTTTCTGGCATGTTTTTCAGTCAGTACCAGTTACCCCACCTGGGTCTCACACATGCTGTAAGGGAACAAAGAGGTAGTATGACAGAGTGGGTGTAGCAAACCCCCCCCATCATCACAGAATTGTATAGCTGGAAGGGAACCCCAAAATAATCAACTCTAGCCGTCTACCACTGTAGGAAATTTACAGCTAAAGCATTTCCGATAGAAGGCCATTTAATCTGTGAAGGAGATTCCACCACTTTTCAAAGTAGTCAATTCTGTTGCCAAATGGCTTTGACTGCTAGGAAGTTTTTCATAATGTTCAGTCAAACTTTCCCATTTTGAAAGTTGAAACCAGCCTCTTCCACTGGGGGGGGGGGGGGAGATGGCTAGCACATTGCCTCTCAGGCTTCTCTTCACTAGCTTAAACATTTCAAATCCCCTCAACTTTTCCTCATAGGACTTGGTTTATAATTCTTTTATTGTTCTGGTCACCCTCCTCAGGACATGGTTCCAGCTTCTCAACATCCTTCCTAAACTGCACTGCCCAGAGGGGACACATTACTCTACGCAAGGTTTGGCCAAAGCAGAATAAAGTGGCACTATTACCGTATTTTTCGCTCCATAAGATGCACCCTTCCATAAGACGCACCAATTTTTTAAGAGAAGAAAACAGGAAAATATAATCTGTTTTCTTCACTCCATAAGACGCACAGACTTTCCACCCCCCCTGTTTTGTGTGGAAAAAGTGCGTCTTATGGTGTGAAAAATACGGTACTTCCCTTGATCTGGACATTATACTTTAGTTCTCTGGTTCTCAAACATTTCTACAACTCCCAGAAATCCTGGTCAACATAGTAAGTGGTGAAGGCTTCTGAGAACTGCAGTCCAAGAACATCTGGGGACCCCAGTTTGAGAACCACTGCTTTAGCTGAGACACCCTCATATAGGTTTGTGTGTGTGCATGTGCTGCTGAATCACACTGTTGGCTCATGTTTAGCTATGCCAACTTCAGTATCATCTGTAAATTTAATGAGAATCCCCTCAAGTCTGAGTCACTCGAACAACACCAGGCCTAAAACAGAAAGAACCCATCCCCTCCACAAGTCTGAGTCACTCAAACAACACCAGGCCTAAAACAGAAAGAACCATGTGGCACCCCACTTGTCAGTTCTCTCCAGGATAATTACAAGCAACTGGTGAGCACTCTTTAGGTGCAGTCTGTCCATTCACGAGAACACCAACTGTAACATCATCTAGTCCCCATTGTGCCAATGTGGCCACAAGAATATCATGTGAAACCCTGTCAAAAGCCTTACTGAAATTGGGAGGGCAGGGTTTCATTGCAGCAAGAACTGGTCGGGTTTCAGACAAGCTCCTGAAACTGACTGGGACCCCTCAGTTCTGCCCCCCACAAACCGGGGAGTGAGGGAGGATGCTGCTAGGAGAAGCGACGTCTGAAACAGCATAGATGACAAAAGGGAGAAATGGGATCGGTGAAGGCTGGTTCCCCCTCTGAAGTCACATCTGAGCACATGGACCAAGGAGGAAGCCATCTTGGCAAAGAGCTGGAACACCCCAAGCACAAAGTGAGAGAGTGCAAAAGGATGTGGGAAATATCTCAACCAGAGACTCTAAGTTAAAATATCTGCTTATGTAAGGAAAATTTCCATGAACCCAAATAACTACACAGAAAACAGATAGCTATAAAGAGCCAACAAAATGGGCGTTATCCTTTTAAAGAAACTTTACGGTGGAAGTGAGCCTCCCTTCCCCGAAAGAGAAAGGGAGAAGGGAGAGAAAAGTACTTTGCCACAAAATTATAGCAATTTAAGATAAAAAGCCTCGCTCCTGCTACTATCCAAAATATCAATATGAAATCCTACTTACTTTAAAGCACTGTGGATTAAAGAGCCAACAAAATGGGCGTTATCCTTTTAAAGAAACTTTACGGTGGAAGTGAGCCTCCCTTCCCCGAAAGAGAAAGGGAGAAGGGAGAGAAAAGTACTTTGCCACAAAATTATAGCAATTTAAGATAAAAAGCCTCGCTCCTGCTACTATCCAAAATATCAATATGAAATCCTACTTACTTTAAAGCACTGTGGATCCTTTAAATTTTTATTGTTGTGACTTGGCGACTGTGAGAACTTTCTATCCGGAAGCTCGATTAGAACAGAAAAGTAAGTGAGAAGTTCTAAAGGATGTGCACTATAGAAACAAGAGAATCCAGGAGGAGGAAAGAAAACCTTAACAAGAAAAATTGACTAAATGAAGAAAATGGTTCAAGACTATAGGATATAATGGGTATAAAATGGTAGAAGAAGCCAATCACCTTGTTTCTCCTGTTACCATGCAAAATTGGCTTGGGTTCCATCACACCATCCAAGTTACAATGGGTGCAGTTATACTAAACCAGCGATGACGAACCTATGGCACGCGTGCCACAGCTGGCACACAGAGCCCTTTCTGCAGGCATGCAAGCCATAAGTCGCCAGATCGCTACTCTCCCCCCTGCAGCCAAACCTCAGGAGGCAGCTGCAGCCGTGGTGCTGGCTTTTCAACAGGCAGCAGGCCAGGATCTGGAGCAGCTGGTATGGTGGCAGATCCAGAGTGGGGTCTTGAGGCACCTCTGTGCCCAGGATTCCCCCTTTTGCCACCACTGCTGGTTTCGCTACCGCCATGGCCTGCCAGGTTTGTTTTCTTTTAAGTTTGGGCACTTGGGCCCAAAAAGGTTCGCCACCACTTTCGTTGTTGTTTAGTCGTTAAGTCGTGTCCAACTCTTTGTGACCCCATGGACCAGAGCACGTCAGGCCCTCCTGTCTTCCACTGCCTCCCAGATTTGGGTCAAATTTATGTTGGTAGCTTCGATGACACTGTCCAGCCATCTTGTCCTCTGTCTCCCCTTCTCCTCTTGCCTTCACTCTTTCCCAACATCAGGGTCCCCGCCACTATTCTATACTAACATTCCACACAAAGTCAGACTACAAGCTATCACAACCACCAAACACCATAAGGAAGAAGCCAACATAATCACCACTCTCTCTGACTTTGTACTCAAACACAATTATTTCACCTTTGACAATAAAACCTACCTCCAGATCAATAGAACTGCAATGGGCACTCACATGGCCCCACAACATGCAAACAGATTCATGGCTGACGTGGAGCAATGCTTTCTTAACTGCTGCATCTAAAAGCCACTCCTCTATTTGAGGTACACTGATTACATTGTTTCTGATCTGGACCCATGGAAAGGAATCCCTAGAAAAATTCCACCAGGATTTCAAAAACTTTCACCCAAACACCAACCTCATTCTGGAAAAATCCATGCAACAGGTGCATTTTCTGTACACCACTGTGGAACAACAACATGGACATCCCAGTACCACAAAGTACTGAAAACCCACCAATCTATATACCTACTTGCACTATCCCAACTTCCATCCTGAGCACATAACAAAATCCATTGTATACAACCAGACCTTCAGATACAATCACATCTCCTCAAACACATAGGATAGAGACTCCAAACTCAAGGATACACAAAATGTATTCCTCAGACTACAATACCCACCCATATGATGGAACAAATTGACAAAGCAAGACAGGTACCCAGAAGCACCCTACCGCAAGACAGACAGAAGACAAAATAACAGAGGACCACTAGTTATCACTTGCAGTCCACATCTGAAACCATGCATACACATCTTAAGTGATCTCCAGCCTATCCTTTACAAGAATACTTCACTCTCCAAAGTCTTTGGTGGGAGACCCATGCTTGCCTATAGACAATCGCCCAACCTCAAGCAACTAGTAACACACAATGGACCACAAAACAGTAACACAGACTGGGACTAAAGCTACCACAGACCCAGATACCAACTCTGCCCACAAATCTATTCCGGTAACATGATTACAGGACCTAACAATGCCGCACAAAACATCAAGGGCACCTTCACTTGTTCCTCATGTGATATATCAAATCAAATCAAATACATTTATTGTCATTGTAAGTATATAGTACATAGTATACCCATACATCGAAATTCACACAGACACCCAGAGACCAGACCCACATGCACACACATAAAAATTCCCAAACACTCCCCACCCACTAAAAACCCCCCACTACAAACATCTACACGGCAGCTAAGTAACACTGTTCAACTATTCGCTACTGGTGGTCTTTTAAGTTCATTATTAAATGCAATTATAGCTCTGGGATAAAAACTCTTCAGAAAACATATGGTCCGAGCCTTAATTGTTCTATATCTTCTGACAGACGGCAACAGTTCAAAAAAGTTGTAAGCAGAATGGGAAGAGTCTCGCAGGATGTTGTGTCACTTCCTCAGACAGCGGGATGTGAAGCTGTCATCCAGGGTTGATAGCTGGAGCCCGATGATATTCTGGGCAATTTTAATGGTTCTCTGTAAAGCTTTTTTGTCCGCTACCCCCAAACCATACCAGAATGCCATAAGTTAGGACACTCTCAATGGTGCTATGATAGTAGGACAGAAGTAAATGCTGAGATAAATTTAACTTCCCGAGTATTCTCAGGAAATACAGCCTCTTCTGTGCCTTCTTCACTAGCATGTTGGCATTTATAGTCCATGAGAGGTCCTCTGAGATGTAAGTGGCCAGAAATTTAAAACTACCAACTCTCTCCATTTCCTCGCCATTTATGTACAGTGGCAAATGTACATTTCTCTTCCTCCTAAAATCAATTA